AAAAAACGTGTAAGAATAACAACCAAAATCTCAAACAAAACAGTTATGAGTCGACTAATAGCATTCTATGTGTCGACTCAAAAGAGGCAGTTAACACACGGGTTAAAAAGAAATCATATGCGTCGACCTATGATGGCTTATGCATTGAATCTTAGAAAAAAAAATTCTTACGCGCGTCGACTTGTAGCTTCTTTCGGTTGATGCATACTGTCTAGTAAGCTTTCTTCTGAAATTTGTTTTTATGCACCTACCCATGAGTTAATGCATGCTGAATGGAAAATTGTATGCACCTACATGTAGCATTTCATGAGTTGATGCATAAAACTAATTTTTTACTTAGTAAGTGATTTTAAACCAACAAGGATGATTATGCAATCCTAATCATGAGAATGCAAAATTGAGAGGATATCATCCAACACATAAATACTAAGTGTCCTAGTTTTAACATTAATCAAAACACACTACTAGAAGAGGAATCCACTAATATGTTTCACAAAACCTAATATCCATTTATTAAATCCCCCTATTTCATTAGAGAGAGAGAGAGAGAGAGAGAGAGAGAGAGAGAGAGAGAGAGAGAGAGAGAGAGAGAGAGAGATAAATAGCACCAAGATTTGTTTAGGAAATTCCTCAATTGTCCTTATTATGGGTACGTCTGCCCTTAATTTAAAATTGAATTGAGATATTATAATTAACCATTGCAATATTAGTTTACAAGAGAAGTAGTAGCAATTAAAACCCCTAAAACTTATGTTTGATGTTTATCCTAGCTCATTTTCTTCCCTTGATCTTAGCAAGATCAAGTCACACAAGATCTCTAATATGATCCTCCGGTTACCGCTACTACTTTTATTGAACCTTTTGTTCTTCAAAGCTTTCACTCGGCTGAATCTAAAGTGCGAAATCTTGCCCCAAGCCTTTCAATTGATCCTCCAGTTACAACTACTATTTTGGAAGAACCCTAATTCTTCAAAGCCTTCGCTCAGCTGAATTCAAGTTGACAAGAATTATGCAAAAACCTCCAAATCAATCCTTGATCATATAGTAAAATTCCTAAAGGTTTTATTCTTGAAACCCCCAACAATTCTCAACCGAATTTAGAGTTCACAAATGTTAAATTGAATGTTATCACTCTCAATCAAGATTACTCAACAAGAGTTATTGTATGTAAATGTTGAATGAAGGCTATGAAGAAGAATAAAGATGAAAAACAATCTCTGTATCTTTCAAGTTTCAATCACTTTGAAATAAGATGCATGAATATATTTATAAGTGTGTGTGAAAGTGGTGAAGTAACAAAAAACCGTATAAGAATAACACTCAAATTTTCAAACAAAACAATTATGAGTTGACTCATAACATTCTATACGTCGACTCATAAGAGGTAGTGAGCACATGTGTTAAAAAGAAATCCTATGCGTCGGCCTATGAGGACTTATGCATCGACTCATAGAAGAAAAATTTCTTATATGCGTCGACCTGTAGCTTTTACAGGTTGATGCATACTGTCCAATAAGCTTTCTTTCAAAATTTTGTTTTTATGCACCTACCCATGAGTTGATGCATGCTGAATGGAAAATTATATACATCTACCTGTAGCATTTTATGAGTTGATGCATAAAACTCATCTTTAACCTAAAATCTTGTATTTTGACTTAGTAAATGATTTTAAACCGATAAGGATGATTATGCACTCCTAATCACGAGAATGCAAGAATGAGAGGATATTGTCCAACACACAAATACTAAGTGTCTTAGTTTTAACATCAATTAAAACATACTACTATAAGAGGAATGCACTAACATGTTTCACAAAACCTATTCCTCATTTCATGAAATCTCTCTCCCTCCCCCCAAAGTTAGGTCTAACTAGGAGCCCACCTGTAGAAGATGAAGATGATGAAAGATGGAGATGAGTTCTTCTGATTCAAGCTTTTGATATTCACTTCGAAGCTTTTTCCCTATTGTCTTTTTTTCTCTTTTCTCTTCTCCTCTTATTCTCTCTCTCCTTCCTAACAAAATGACATAATGGAAGAGAAGAAAATATCTAAGGATATTTTATCCCATAATGAGTAAATGATCAATTGCCAATGTTACCGAAATGTCCTTTCTTCTACTAATTAGTAAAGGTCGGTCAAATAGATTAATAATTAGTCTCATCTGAGTTCACCAATTACTCAATTTGTCCAAACTGACAAAGGATAAAACACTTTAAAGGATATGGGATATAATATATTTGCTATTTCCTCTTCTTAGTCCCTATGTCACCAAAATTATACGTACTCTCACTTTTCTCTTCTATTTAAATAAAACTTAATTTATTTTAATTTAATAATTTCTACTAATTCCTTCAATTCTCACTAACTCTACTTACTTTCCTATATTCAATTAAATTCTAGTTTATTGGCCAAAACCTAAATTTCTCACATTCTCCACGAAATTGAATATAAAACTATAATTGAATTCTCCTAATCCTTATTAAAGTAAATAATAATAATTAATTAAATAAAAGACATTCCAAAAATTCAAATAAAATGAGAAAATACTAGAATAAAAATTGGGGCGTTACGACCTCCACCTAATATGATTGACGAGCAGCGACGACAGAAGATACCATTTCTTTCTGATAACTTCACGGGTTTGGTAAATCCTCACAGGTTTCGAATATGTCATGTTGTATTGAATTATTTGTATTTTATTTACGCTTTATCTTAACATTGTATAACATTACCGTAGGCTGAGCATAACAAATATATAATGGAACTAACATGAACATAACTTAACCATTGATAAATGATTCAAGACGTTTCATCATTTTCAGAATATCATCAACAAATCTCGCAAGATTCACATCTACCTCGATTGGACCCTTTGTTGCGTTATAGTGAAATGTACGACATATAATTCTTAAAACTTCATCTGTCTTCAGCTCAAATTTACTAAACCTAGTATTCCCATTATTATTAACCAACAGTGAACGATACTTGATTTTAATCACCATTCAATTGTCTGGGTAGCACAAGAGATTATATAGTTTGGATTTCAGAACTACAAAAGGTGTATGCTTTATAACTTTAAATTCAATAGGATGACTCACAACGTTGAAGTAAACAAATTCGAGATGTCAAAATCGAAACATTGCAATATGTTTTTGTTAACAACTTATGAATCATATTTATACAAATTTTAAATCATTATGAACCATCCAAAAATATTTGTACAATTACAATTCTACAAAACATCACTATCAATTTAAGAGTGGAAAAATATTTGACAAACCAAATTTATTTAAACTTCTGGTAAACCATTAGTATGCACCAAATATTTCAAATAATCTGATACAAACACATACTGATTTTTTTAGCATTAATAACAAATTTTTCGTGTGAGAGTAAAATCTTTGCAAAAAATTTGAAAAAGATAAAAGAAAATAAAAAGGATATTTTTTAGATTCAAAATATGTGGGGTGCCAAGTAGATATTTCAAATTTTAGGCTCTGTTGATGGAGTTTATTATTTGGGCCTAGCCCATTATTATGTAATGGATTTTGTATGGTCTTGTTGAGAGGGGTTTCACTCCCAACTTTCCAACTCAAACCCTACCGGATTGTCTCTTCCGTCGAAATCAAGGTTAGGTTTTCTGTGCGCATTCTCTATCTCTCTACACTGCTCCTATTTTTCCAAATTCACAATCGCTGTTCTTGGTGTGAATTAACTAAATTGGAATTCCCGTTTTTTGCATCGCGTGCTTTTCATTTGAAATTCACAGAGATTACCGAGCAAAATTGACAAATGGGTTAAGAAGAGGAAAACATTTGATTTTGATTGAAGTTTGAAACCAACCCTGTACAATAAAACTAGAACGAAGACATGCTTGTTTCCTAGTTTTGTGGTTAATTCAACTTAGTTGGTGCTTCAAATTATTCATTTGCTTTTTGAAAAAATGATTCAATCTCTTAGCATTATATATTCTTGTACAACTGAGTTTCTGTTAGTGTTATTTACAATTGTTAAGTGACCAGTTATTGATGTAGTTAGGTGCCACTGCTTCTTTATAAGTGACCAATTGTTTAAAAAGTACTCTGAATTTTATCAGAATCTATTGAATTCTCTGTCTCTACTTTCTATCACTTTATAATAATGCGCCGGCCTGGTTTACTCAAGTGGATTAGAACTATTAGAGAGCTTCTCTTTTGAAACAAATTGGGGAAGAGGGAATGTTTGTTTTACTATTCTCATCGAGAGAATTCAAACTCAATACCTTGAGGTTACAAGGCTAAGCTCTTACCATTGAGCCAATGTGTAGTGGTTTCAGGGAAATCTATGTTTTTCGCCACTAAAATGTGTAGTGGTTTCAGGGAATATATGTTTTTCGCCACTAAAATGTGTAGAAAATAGGAAGGGCACAACTGGTTACAATTTTTCGCATCTTCCTACAATCACACTTTTTAGCACATGGAATTGTAGAAGAGACACTTATTTTCCTCCTGCCCCCTTCCCATTTTCATGGCCTAACCAAACACGCGAGACGGTATTTTCCTACCCTTTTTCATCATCCCATTTTGTGTTGCCCCATTTCCCTTAAATCCAATTGAAGTGTTAGTCTCTATTAGTTCTGAAGCCCCTCATTGCTAACATTTGATTTTGATTACGCCATTATCTCCTTCATTTTGATACATGGGTATGTTAATTTATGCTTGTGAGAGGTGACTTGTGAGGACACTATAAAAGAAGCTCTGGGCATGACTTGTGGTTGGTTGGGGGTTTGATTTTCATTTGTAGGTTGTAGATTTTATTATATTGTTTTGGTGGAGTTCTTTATTTTACCAACTTATGAATGTCGTATATAGTGTCTAGTGTTACAAATTTACGAAGATTGTTTATTATTTTCTATTGATTGCAGACTACTTGACTGTGTAAGAAATAAGGTGATGCTTGTGTCGAATGAAATCTTAATTGAATCTGATCTGTTTGTGTTTATTTTATAGGTAAAATAATTAGATGGCTGGTGCATTTTGGGCGACACGCGTGTTGGAGAAAGTGAAGAAGCATGATTCTGGAGGACTCCTTTGGAAGAGAATCAAACTCACCACTACCCGTAAAGCCAATGCCAAGAAGCGTCTTCTCCGTGTGTGGCAGGTATTTTAATAAACACCTCCCCAACTTGCAATTAACCCTGCTAACTTAGTTTCTTATGCTTATCAGCTATATTATCTTAGCATTCTATGCTATTAATTTAATAGGCTCCTCATACCTAGAAAAAATGATTAAGGATGTTGGTTTGTTACTTTATCTGTTGTGGTTGATGAGCCATTTCCTTTATTTCACAAGTACATCTCAATGGATTGGAAGTGGGAACATAACAGACATTACATATTGTATCCAAATTATTCTCAGGCCCAGCTACATTCCTATTGTTTTCATTTCATCTATACTCAGTTATTTTTGTTCATGTATTATTTGTTTCCAAAGATAGAACGTTAATTGTGACTGTCAATGGCTAATGTCATGGTACATTTTTTTTTTCTTTTTGGAAGAATGAAGCTGTCCTCAAGGCATGTTCTGAACCCGCTCCTTCAGTAAGTTCTTTTGCCGGCGCCAACAATGTTGCAAAGAGTAGTTAAGTTAAAGGGTGTCTACACTTGTTCCAACAGTATTTTGGGTTCCCAATCCTATATTAGTTTTTCTTTTGCTCAGGAAGTTGAAAAACTGTAGCAGGATGCTTCAATTAGCCAATGGTTTTAACTTTCTTACGAAAAAACCACTTTGTCAGTTGTAACCTCTATAGGGCGCATAAGCTGCAAATCCATTACAGCTCCTTAGAGCTTGAGCTGCATGATGTGTCATGTGCAAGGATTATTACTATCTTTCTTGATTTTTTGTGAATAGTCTTTTGCTTATTGTGGTTGTTGGAATGCAAAATTATGATCTAGGCATTGCTGATTGCTGAATGTAGAAAGGCAAGTTTCATTTCAGAATAGTAAAAGAAAACATAGGTCCTCAAAACTTGGTATGAGAAGAAATGTGGATATTCTATTTTCGGAACTTTTTCCTCACCCCTTAATATCAATATCAGTTTGGATATTAAGTATTCAGAAAAGTCACAAAATTTGTTGTGTTTGAATGTGGAAGAAGACTACCACATGTTCTATTGTGGCCCCAAGTATATAAATTTATTTGATTACCTTATATCACATGAATGTGATAGAAATACAAAAATTGATAAGTCATTGTTGCAGAGATAATAAGCAACCTTTGTTAGACTAAACTCCGTTCAAGCAACACCGCATTAAAAAGTGGTTGGTTTTGGAGCTAGTCAAAGTTGAAGAATGATAACTTATTCCATTCTTTGCAAGACAATTTTATAGTGAAAATGGTAATTAAGTTGTTTATGTGATTGACTTATTCAGGTGAGGTCATGTACATGTATTGTATGGTCTACCATGATAGGCTGCCCACGTGATTGACAAAGTCAGCAATTCACATCCTTGTCTCATTTTATTTCCAAACAATAAGAAAATGAAAGTTATAATAGAAAAGATGACGTGAAGAACTCTAACAGCTTCATTAGATTGTTCTAAGCCACTAACTATCACAAGAAACTTTGGTCGGCAATTTATTCATTTTATTATGCTTTTGTCTCCTTGACTTTCTAATTCTACAATTGGTTTCTAACTTTTATTGCATACTTATGTTCAAATAATTTAAATTATAGGTTCAAGTTTTGCTGGGTTTTCCCTATACTTGTTAATTCTTGAATGTCAAATTTGATTTTAAAAGGCTTAATTAGTGCTGAAGTCCTTTAATTTAATTTTACGTTTTATTTTAGTTTCTTATCTAATAAATTATCTAATAAATATTATAGATTAGTTCCTTAAAAACAAACCAATTAGTCAATTTAATCTTTACTGTTAAATTGTGAGAAAAAAATGAACTTCTGGTGATGTGGCATGACATCAAAGCAATATATAAATCAGTGACTCAGCAAACACTTTATTCATCATTGTAAGCTTCATTTTCATACTCAGACATTTTTTTAAGTTTGCTAGGGTTACTATTCATCTTCTTTAACATTCTATTTCATCAAAATCATATTCTTTGAAATTTCTTGTGTATTCCTCTTCATCCAGATCATCTTCTTTGAAATTTCTGCTAATGAATTCCAACACCTATTCAAAATCAAACAACCAAAATTATGAGATATTTGGATCTGTCCTCATAAGAAACAAGAGGTGAGAGTGTTGGTGCCAAGAATAATGTGTTACTCATATTGTTACAGATTTGACAGTGTGAATGTTGGAAAAATATTTTGGGGTTGTAGGAATTATGGAAAAATATTTTGGGGTTGTAGGAATTATAGAGATCAAATGGAAAAGTGATGCAATTTTCAAGTGGTTAGGTGATGGAGTTTTTGATGAAGAGATTTGAAGATTGAAAGGAAAAGGAAGAAAACTTTCAAGTTGAAGAATGAGGTTGCCCACACAAGATGAATGTTGAAAGGTTCAATGATGTTTGGCATTTTTAGTTTAGGGTCCAATTTTGTGCTTTTAACCATGTATTTCAAATAGGATTAGTTAATTTCCTGCGTTGGTTCTAACATATGTTTGTTATTATGTTATGGAGATAAGACACTATGTGTATCTAGTATTTGTGTGAATATGAGATTGTCCCCTTTTCACCCTTAGGGTTGAGATATTTATAGGAACTCCTAGACTTGAATTTCTGATTCCCAAAAAATAACTATTGCTTCTAGGAGCAGGAGAATGGAGAAACTAACCCCATATTACTCAAGGGAGCATGGTTGACTTCCCATTGACTTATATGAAAATCTTTAAGATGGTATATGGCTTATATGAAAATCTTTCCTATGAAAATTGACACATCCATGTGGCAGCATGAGAACTTTCATGAATAATATATACTGTTAAATCGTATTTTCCTCCCATACTCATATCTAGGTTGTAAAATATTTTCATCTATTGCTAACGTCCATAAACTTTAATCACAAATATTTATTCTGGTCTTCTATAAACAAGAGACTAGTCTCAAGTGTTATATGAATCTGAAAGGCGAAGAACATGAAATGGCTCAAATCAAACAACACACTTCTAAACTAATATATGTTAGGAGGTACGAAACTAAGATTGACAACCTTTCCCCCAACTAGAACGACCTTGCAGGGTACGTCAGATATTATCACACGATAATTATATGTTGGAAGAAATAAACGATGATCCCATCCCTGGAACATGGAACACAGTGAAGCTGATGCATTATGATATTTTATTTTTATTTTTGGTCAATAACGCAAGTTATAACCTCCATGATTTTTTTCTTATTTCAATTATTTAAAGTATTGATAAAGTGACAGGGTGCCACTATTTTCTCCTACAAGGGAAGATGTTTTTAACAAGACTCCTTATTTACTAAATTTATCCCCTCTCCTTCATCCTTTAAGAAGATAACATATACTATTGAACCCTCTAAGATATCATTACACTTTTCAGGGTACTATCACACCCTCAAGGGTATTATGGCATCCTTATGAGTATCGTTCTGCCATTTGGGGTATCATTGCACCCTCCCGAGCATTATTTTACCTTCTTAGATATAGTTATTCTTAAAGGTTTTTTCAATGAATGTTTGGATGCTAGTTGAATACCAAAGAAACTAAACCTTATGACACGGGGAAATAGAAAGATACAAAACTCCATTTGCCCGTCCAAATCAATATTTGGATACAAAGATTGCGCACGATCTTTGGCTTTTTGAAACCTTTGATCCATTGCAAAGCCACTATCTATTTATGGCTCCTATAAATCAACTTCCAAGTTACTCTTGGAAATGGAATCTGCTGCAACCACCTTCTTCAGGCTCTTCACTTCCTCCCTCAACCCCGTTGCTTTATCATTTTGATCATAAAGAGCATCATTTTTTTCCTTTTCCAACTTCTATAAAACATGTTGAACATTATATTGCAGATGTCAATAGAACTTTGTGCATCTTGTAACACCCTTTTTTACCCCACAATTATTAAGGCAAAATAACACAGATATCAGAGTAAATTATTTAACTCAATAAAAATCACCACAAAGGGTGTACATTTCTCAATAGCTCAAAATAAGTCAATGCTCCGTGTACAACGGATTTTCTCAAAATACATCAAATTGCACAAAGAAGCCGAACTCAAAAGGTATAAATCAAGGTTTTCCTTGTACGAGAAGATAAGCAAAATAACTCAACAATACATAGTTTAACTCAAAAGAAACCAACATGATGTTACATATTAGAGCAAAATCCTTTAATTTAACCAAAAGGCTAACAACTCAAAGACTTCAAAAATCCTCAACGGCGTCCACGGCTAAACCTCATCATCTGCACATTACCCACGTGGAGGTAACATTCAAACAGGCAGGGTGAGTAAAATAATTCATAATAATTAATGTATAAAAATCAACATATAAATGACATCATAATCATATTCAACACATTCATATCCTTCAATATGCCTCAAAGGCCACAACGTCATAATTCATACAAAAGGACCCATAAATGCAAATGCAACAAGACTCAATGCATGTGGTACCAATCATCACAACACGATGGACACTGGGCCATCAATCCTCCATAGATCCTCATCAATAGGATCGATTCTACTTGAGAACCAGAGCACATCAAAACACTTCACATCCATACAATGGGATTGAAGCCAAAGTAATCGAGGTACTGAACTGAAGTCCGGATGCACATGAATGTATGATGCATACGTTACAAATCATCCTCATAACAACATCATAAGTGCATCATCATTCATCATATTCATCATCATCAAACGTCATAGCTCATCATCATAATTATCATCATACGTGATGTCATCATAGTTCATCATAATCATCATCATCATACATCATGTCATCATATAATCATAATAATCATCATCATACATCATAGAAATCATCATATAATCATATACAAATCACATAGCGCTCATAATCATACTCACATTAATTCATCATATTATCACATATTATCACATATTAATTCATAATTATACTCGCGGTAAATCTCATACTATCGCCTATTAATCACATAAACTTCACAGTCCTACTCATGTTAATTCATCATATTATCACATATTACCATAGTTACCCTCATGTTAATTCATCAGGAAAATTGCAGCATCAAAACATCAAGACATCACTGAACCAAAACATGATTCATGAATAGAACATATACACAATTGACTTCTCAAACATAATTAGATATGAAAATATTGGGAAACCAATTTCCTTATCTATACTATGTTATAGCCCTGTTCATTAGCTTTCCAACGCTTCAAACGAGGGCTAAAACGGACTTACGGATCAAACGTTACGTCCAAAACGATTTCGACCGAAAACATGAACCGTCGTGACGGACAACAAAACACTGTTACGCTCCAAAACCTAAATCAAACCCAAAAGTCCACACGATTCACTTCCCTAATATCCCCAAAACATCTATAAATCATCCCTAAGGTCTTACGATGATAAAGGCACAAAACCTACGGTTTACTAGGCCAATATCGTAACATATTCACGCCCTAAATTACAAATTTTCCTTCAATTACACCCTAAGGCATCAG